ACTGTTGGCAGAGACAGACTTCCTGAACATCAGGCCAGTTGTCTCTCCATTGGGATCATTAGAGGAAATTTGACCCCAGTAGACCATAGAAATCACGCTAAGGATTGGTATTGGTTTGGCTGGATAACACTGGCTTCTGCAACAGATAAGCCATTGAGTTGAGGTTGATGGTGGAAGTGTAATTCTTGCTCATGTGAAGTTCAGTAATATAAGACAAGGATGGGGAGACATAGTTATTCAAGAACCCAGGCTGATGGGAAGGCTTCTACTTTCCCTTTCAAAGCTGCCGTCAGCTTTATTTTATTTTTTTACAGATATTATTTTTCTTTTATTTCTTTATATATTTTAAGTAGGCTCCACACCCAGTGTGGGGATTGAACTCACAGCCCCAAGATCAGGAGTCATGTGCTCTACCGACTGAATCATCCAGGTGCCCCCCACCATACCTTGAGCTTTAGTATCCTGCTAGCACACTGCAGAGGAGACAGTGGAAGTTCATCTATGGGAAACTTCCCGGAGGCACGCCTAGGGGCAATGCACATCACTTCCTCTCCTCTTCTGCGGTCACAACCCAGCCACTTGGCCCAACACAGATATTTCGGGACTGGGAAATTTTGACCCTGGCCAGCAAACACTCCCAGCTCTCTCCCAGCTTCTGGGATGAACTATTTGGTACCTCTGCTCCAGGTTATTTCCTTATTCTTAGGAAAGGTGGATTGAAAGGATTCTCAACCCATATGACTGTGTCCTAGTTTAGAAGTTTGCATATTATAGTTTGTGCTTCGTTGTGAGCTTTTTTAATACTTTTGGAACAAGGTTAAGTCGCCAATCTATCTGATTTTTTGGGCAGAGTTTACCACCTGTCCCAGAAGAATAGTCTTGCTATCAGTCAGTTGTTCATCATCCACTAATTAAGAGGAGTTTCCAAGTAGTATATTTTAAAGACTCTTTGAGATCTTGTCTAGGCTTACAGGGGTTCTCTAGGAGGTAACTCCAGCTGGAGAGGCTCTAAGTTTTTTATGCCCTCCTTAAAACATACCCTACTTGAATCCCTGCTTGAAACAGCACCCATAAGAGGTAGTCTGTGCCATTTACCATTCATTGTTTCAAGGCAGGTGACAAAGAGGGAATTCTAAGAGGATAAATGAAACCCCAGGAGATTTTACTCAATTTTAACAGTCCCTATACTCTTCTCTGACCCTATACTGAAATAGTGGTAGCACATGTCTCCTACCATGGAATTTTTACTCCTACTCTGGAAGTAGCCTGGGTGAGTCGTGAGAAGTTCAAAGTTAAAATTGGAAGAACAAAGTCTGGCAGCTTTTTGAGATCTTTCAGTTACCAGTTGTGTGGCCCAGAGCTTTTCTGAGCCTCAGTTTATCACCTAAAAATGGTGATCTTAGTAACACTCTTCTTTATGAGGGGGTCTTGAGGATTAAATGATAATCCCCATGAAGTATTAAATACAGGTTCTAGCACAAAATAGTTATCATTGGTGATAATAGCTTCATCATTTAACACTCAAGGAAGGGAAAGGAGATATCCCCGGTGATGCTTAATGTTGCAAAACTGTTCCATTGATCTATCTTTGGCAGTATCCTGAAGATTTTATGATGCAACTGTGATGCTTGTAAAAGGTTTTCTTATGCACTCAGAATCTGTCATTAAATAACAATTTACAGTAGGTTAAGCATCTATGTTCAGCTCAAGTCATGATTCCAGGATCCTGGGATCAAGTCCTGGATTGGGCTCACTTCTCAGTGGGCAGTCTGCTTCTCTCTCTGCCTGCCTCTCCCCCTGCTTGTGCTCTCTCTCTGAATAAATAAATAAAATCTTACAAAAAAAAATTATGAGGTACCTACTATGTGTAAACACATTGCCAGGCACAAAAGGGTTAATTATAAAGTGGAAGAAGATATGGCCTTTGCCTTGAGTAGTTCATAGTGTCATAAACATTAGCAGTAGCTGTATTTTAAATAGGCTGTAGCTAACCCAACTTTTGGTATCAATAGTGTTTGAAGCCAGCGGCACATATATTCTAATATAGACAGAAATAAGTATGATTATCTTTTTTAAATTATTTTTTATTAACATATAATGTATTATTAGCCCCAGGGGTGCATTTATGTGAATTGCCAGGTTTACACACTTCACAGCACTCACCATAGCACATACCCTCCCCAATGTCCATAACCCAACGACCCTCTCCCTACCCTCTCCCCCTGGCAACCCTCAGTTTGTTTTGTGAGATTAAGAGTCTCTTATGGTTTGTGTCCCTCCTGATCCCATCTTGTTTCATTTTTTCCTTCCCTACCCCTCAACAACCCCCCGCCCTGCCTCTCAAATTCCTCATATCAGAGAGATCGTATGATAATTGTCTTTCTCTGATTGACTTATTTTGCTCAGCATAATACCCTCTAGTCCATCCACGTCGTTGCAAATGGCAAGATTTGATTATCTTTTTTTTTTAACAAGCCCAAGTCTAAAGTACCATATTTCACTTTTTATTTTAGCTTCCTGCCCTTTGTTCCTTGTCAGTTTATCCCCATCCACTACCAGTTGTCAGTTTACCTCTCACCCACCCCTCACACATATACTCTAATCATGGGACTGTTATAAAGCAATTACATATTGCGTGAAAAACAACTTCTTAAATTTTCAAGCTAATTATTCAAAAGCAGATTGTGTTTTAATATGTATTAGCATAATGCTGTGATTTGTAGTTTACGTAGATTAGGAAATGAGCCTCGTACAGTGGGTTTTAACTTGCCCAGATTTTTTATTTAAAAAGCAACATTATTATTGATTTCTTCATTTTTTAAGAATTTCTCAAGTCTGTGTACTCTTACTTCAGTGATTTGAAGCAAGGCTCCTATAAACAAATATCCCTTACACACCTTGTATGTGATCTATGAAAGCCAAGGTCTTCTCGTTTTACCAGTTCCTTATTCTTCCATTTTCAGAGTCTCCCTAGGATCTCAAGTCTGGGGAAAATTTGATCATCCCATCCTTCTCATTCTCTATCCCTTGGGCAGAGGAGAAAACAGGCCCCAAGAGGTCATGGTGCATACTTAGGATCGCACGGTAATATGGGCCTGAATCCCTGTGTAGAGAGCGCTCTTCACACAGACCCCTCGCCCTGGCTGGCAGTATTTTCCTTTCCTCTGACCTCCTTTTCTAAGCTGTCACTAAGTCCTCTTACTGCTTCCTCAATGTGTCTCCTGGCTTCCCTCCTTCCCACTGCTTCCTATCTAATCCAGCTCCCCAGTTCCTCAAAATGGAAAAGGCCTGAAAGAGCGCTTTGTCTCGGGGCATCTATCAGACAAGATTAATTTTCTCTAATTACCGCTGTCAGCGTGTCACTCCTTTGCTGCAAGGCTGCCAGGAGCTCCCTGCTTCCTGTGGCAACAGAGAACAGCACTGCTCCTGGGTGAGGTCCTCCAGATCCCCGCTTTATACATATTCAGCTCCATTTCCATTCCCCTCCCCCCACCCGAGCCCCAGAAGCCCAGAGTCTGCTCTGTGTTTTCTCCATGAGTTAGCCCATAAAGCTATGCCTTTAGCTTGTCTCGCTCCCCAGTTTCTGGTACCTCTCTGCCTTTGCAGATACTCCCATTTTTCTAGGCCAAATCCAGGTCCCATCATCTTTGCAGTGCTTTCCGTGATGGGTCCGGTGATCACCCAGTTACCTGCCTTTATTCCCAGCCTTACTCTTAAGCTCTGCCATGTAGCATTGGGCATAATAAGCTTTCTGATGTGGTTCTGTGGTCTTTCCTCGGAATCTCATTGCCTTTTCAATTACATCTAATGCTCTTGGAAGGCAACGCTTATGTTTCTATTGTTCTCATGTATGCCACATTTTATGATGCCTTGTAAGTGGCCAGTATTACTGTTTATATGGGACTCTCTGAGCTTTTAAAAGCTGTTGTCCAGTGCTGTAGCTCTGGAAATATTTTGCAGTGTTCACTGCTTGGATCAGGATTGGTTGTTAATATTGCTGAACAGTGTCCTCCCGTGCTGGATGCTGACAGGATGAACTACAGATGTGTGGCTGACCCTCAGGCAGGGACCAGCCTTAGAGGGGTGGCACTCACACTCATAGTTCATGGTTTGTGGATCCGTGGCTAGGAGGTGAGAGCTCTTTCACTAAACACCAGCACACCTGCCTCTTGGATTTACAGGAGGTAATAGTTACTTGAGAATGGATAGGAACAGCATTATCTCCATAATTCTGGCAAATTCTCAGCACGCGAGTATGAAATGTGAGCTGGCTCAGTCTCCTCTCCCACTGTGTGTCCTTGAGCCCACAATGACCTTGGTGCTCTCTTTTCTACAATATTGGCACAGTGTCCTAAGATTTAATCTGATCTTTTTCTGAGTTATTTTTTTCACAACTCAGTAAATACTGCATTTTCCCCCCAAAAGTAAGAAAGTTGTAATATGTCCTTGGTATTAAAAAATGGAATGTGTATTATTTGAAGAAAACCTTCTGAATTTTTGACGCTCCTTTTCCACGCCTTCTTCCCTTTTCCAGTAGTCATTTCTGGACTGAGGCAACTGCAGATTTTACAGTACCTTGGGCTCTGCTCTCCCCGAGGCATCCGCCTCATAAGTATCTCCTCCACTCTGAGTTCATAAACTTGGAATTATTTTTTTCTATAATGTCAGCAGACTAATTCCACCCATACAAAATGGTTTGGCCATTTTCCTCTTTGGCACAAAAGAGAATTGGCAGAGACCCAGACAAAGATGGAGTTGACAAGCTCTGGCATGGAAGTGAGTTCAAGGACTCTGGGCTTTGAGTCTGCCTTCTTCATCTCGTATTCTGAATTCTTGCCCACCCAGAAAGTCCTCTCTTCCCATCTCAGACAGCTAAAGATGTTTCAGATCCTGCTCCATTTGTTAATATCTCCAACACACGTAGCAAGATGCTGCGTCTCTTCACGTACACGAAGTCACCCAACTGGAATCTCTTAAAGGATTTTTTCTTATCCTTCTAGGTGGATGGAAGTCTGCTTAGTTGAAGAATTGCCACCAACCACTGAACTGGAAGAAGGGCTCCGGAATGGGGTTTACCTTGCCAAGTTAGCCAAGTTCTTTGCCCCAAAAATGGTATCAGAGAAAAAAATCTATGATGTGGAACAAACGCGTTATAAGGTAACTAAAATCTAATTGGTTTTGGCTTCCATCTAAAAGTAAAAGTTTGGTATTTCATTTCCTTTCCCTGCTTTTACTCTTAGTGTTTCTACAAAGATTTTGTGGAATGGTGGGGAGGGGGTGTCCTTGGTCTTAGAAGCCTGCTAGTAATCATTCCCGAGGCAGCAATAGTTTTAAAAGCAGAATGTTTCTATTTCTGGGCTGAGGCTGAGACACGTCTGATTTGTGGGGCTTCCCGGCCCCCTTCCATTATTCCTTCATGGAGGTCATTTTTATTAGCACCAGTAAATGTAAAAATGAGGGCATTTTACCCTCCTCCCCCTTTTTTTTTCCACCACCGACGCAGTTTATTACTCCCCTTGTTCTCATCAAGGAGTAAAGTACCCAGCTGGGACTTGGACTTGTGGCCCCAAAGAGTTAGGGCCAATGTGATCAAATGAGTAGTAACATTGAATAGTCAGGTAGGAATTCTGTTCCACTGAATGTTTAAAACAAAATAAGACTAATTTTTTTTTTTGTATGAAACTTGTTTTAATTATTTCATGGCTAATTTGGGAGGACACATGGGGAGAAAACAAAACCAAAATAAACAACAGTCTTGACTTGACTTTAAAAATGATTATTTTAGAGACACATGTCTAAGTATTTACAGATAGAGTGATATATCTAGGATTTGATCCAAAATAATCAGAAGGAGGATGGAGAGAGATTTGAGACTGGTCATGAGTTCATAATTGTTGAGGTTAGGTGATGGGTACATAGGAGTTGATTATACTACTTCATGAACTTTATGCTTGACATTTTTCATTAAGAAATGCAGGAGAAAAAGAAAACCACCAACCTAAAAGACCCTCCATTAGATGTGTCTTCAAAAGGGACTTTTAAAGTGTGTGTTATTCTCTCCTGGAGTAAGTGATTCTTATGCACTTTGGGTCAGGATTTCTAAAGCTTTCATGAAATGTGATTCTTTATAGTCTTAATTTATTGTACAGTTGACCCTTGACCAATGAGCAAAAAATTTTTTAAATGTGTATATTTAGGGACACCTGGGTGGCTCAGTTGGTTAAGCATCTGCCTTCAACTCAGGTCATGGTCCCAGGGTCCTAGGATCAAGCCTGGTGTCGGGCTCCCTGCTCAGTGTGGAGTCTGCTTCTCCCTCTCCCTCCGTCCCACCTCTTCCCACTTGTGTTCTCTCTCTATCTCTCTGTCAAATGAATAAATAGAATCTTGAAAAAAATAAGAAAGTAAAATGTATAATTAATTCAGAGCAAATGTGTGAGTAATTATTAGGCTAACCATAGACAAGAGGAATTGAGATATCATTTATGAGTCTGTTTTCATATTCTCATCTAAAAGATAACCGAGTAAACATTTCTGCCTTGGATAATGTTAGGAATGAAAATGTTTATGTTTGTTAAAGTACTTTTGAGTGGATGAAGTCATGTGTTCCTCCCTAGAGTCTTAGCTCATTATGTGAGCTTTTCACAAGACTTTACTGAATCAGTGATCAAGTCAGGCGAAATTATTTTAACTTTGAAAAATATTTTTTTAGTACAGAAAAAAAGTATTTATATCCCCACAACACAAAATAAATGAATCTGTCCACATTTTATAACCCCATTTTTCTTTTTTCATTGCCTCTATAAAGGTTATTACCATGATCTAGCCCTATTTCTAGTAATAGCCATGTAGATTTGATGACAGAGTTCAAGTGTACTTGGGCTAGGCTCCAGCCTGTCCTGAGAGGAGGCTGTGGGTATCTCGTTCTGTCAATGCCAGAGAGGAGAATCAGGCCAACAAGAGCAATGGCAGACGGTGAGCTCCAAGGAGGAGGTGGGCTACCTCTTTTCTCTTCTTGGCACATCATACAGCTTTGAGTGGAAGTGCCTCCAGTTCAGCTGTGGACCCCCTCATGGCAAGTCAAACAGGTGCCATTACCTCCTGGCATCAGAGAACCTATTATTTGAATGAATAGCAACTTCTCTTTGGGATGGAGACAAGGGAAATATTTCCAGTTTCTTGTTACAAAATGAAGTACCTGTGGAGCGCAGGCAGGTGATGACATTCCCAAACAAAATACTGAGACGGAAGGATTGTGTTTGCCACCCCTGCCCATCGGGTCCTGGAAGACGGATATGCAGAAGAAGGGATGGTGCCAGGAGAAGGGCAGAGAGAAGGGAAGTGTAACGGGGGGAGGGGGTGGTGCCAACTGGGATGTGGGAAAAAGTACAGGACCAATGGAAACTATCCCTCTCTTGGTTCGCTGGACAAAAGAAGCCTTTTCCCCTCCTTTTTTAAATCTTGGAGAATGCCTAATGTCTTTGAAAGAAAAAAAATTTTTTTTTGAAAGAAAATTTTTAATGAGTTACCATGTAATCATAAAATTTTAAGGCCATTTCATTCATTTTACAAAATTGAAAAGAGTCAATTATTAGTGAACAGGAGATGAAGCTTCCTGTTCTTGGCATCCTTAGGATTAAAGCCCGTCCTCTGGTCCTTTACAAGGAGCATGGAATCGTGGGACTGCTGCAAAGACAATGAGACACAAGGGAATGCTGTTTAACCCAGCCCCAGCCCCTGTATACGCCATTTGGCAAGCATGAGTTCAGTGAGCGTGGGCTCTGACAGCAGGGTCTGCTTAGACTGCAGCCATAAAATATGACCTGCCTGTTAGGCAGTGTGTCTCTGAGGCATGAGTTCTGTCCCTGAACCCCAAAGGCCTCAGTTTGGGCAATAATGGCTCTGAGTTAAGCAGATGGGCGCTTTCAATGCTGTTCTCATCCTCTTTGTCTGCCGGCTTAAGTACAACCCTGGTCCCTTGTTAATTTAAGGTCAGAAAGATGTCCTAGATATTAGAGTTAAACCTTCTAATGACGAATATCCTTTCCCTGGCCACCTCCGCCTCCCACTCCAGGACCCAGTTCCAGGACCTTGTGACCATGCCGTATGAGTTCTGACTCCTGTTATGGTCCCTCTTGGATACATCATGGTGTACTATAAAGAGTTCCTTGTCCTGAAAGCGGGAACCATGCACTATCCTCAGTGAATGGTGAAGTGTGTAGCTCAGGGTAGGTGCTAGGGAAATAGCTGTTGGGTTAAAAAAAAAAAAAAAAAAAGAATGAATGACAGTGATTTCAAACAAGCCAACAACTCCATTTTTTCTATGCTTATTTGATATATTTGATATATTTGCCAAATATCAAATTTATTTATCAGCATTTAGAATGTGGATTCTAAAGTCAGCATTCCTCAGATGTTTAAAATGGATGAAGAATTCAAAATCTGTCATCATCCCAGTATGATGCTAAAATGTCCTGCAGGACCACTCGATGGGTGTGTGTAAAAATGTGGACCCGTGGGCCCACCCCAGACTACTGAGACAGGTAGAATCTCCTGGCCAGGGACCCAGGAAGCTACCCTCTTAACAATCAGCCCAGGTGATTCTTTTCTCATGTATTACTTGCGTTTGAGATGATCAAACATTATCTAATGGTAGGCAAATAATATAATAAATTTTAATAAAGTTTATAGGGAAAGAAGGTGAAGTTTTACTATGATAGAAATACATAGAGGATAGAATTCACTTATCCATATAGTGCTTATCAACACGTGCCATATAACAATGTGCTCAAATGGTAAGCAAGGCAGACATGATTTCATGGCAGTTAGGGTTGGGGAGACAGACTTTAAGTAAATAAACAGTTGTGGGTTTAAACAGCGATGAGTGTATGAAGACATTAAAGCCAGTGTTACTGACAGATAGCAATGGACAGAAGATGAGCTTTCCTGAGGAAACGTGTACCTTTGAGGCAGGAAGAAGGAGAAAAAGATCATTCATGTGTAGCTTTAAGGGTGGGGAGCAGGGAGGACAGTCTGGAGAAAGGAGCCTGTTTTTGAGAGACTTGAAGAAGAAAAGAGCTTAGACAAACAGAATGGCTGAAAGCCTGTGGTGAGGGACAGTGGTGAAAAATGAGACCAGGATGGAAGATACGTGACTTCATCATAAGTAACGACAAAGGAAGCCATTGAAATGTAAAACAGAGGCATCGTGGCTTTACAAAGATGCTATGTGAAGAATAAATTAGAAGATGAGGGCAGGGGCAGGCCCTTGAGGGGATAACTCAGCACAAGCGACAGGTAACAGTGGCCGGTATAGACAAGAAGTAAATGGATTCAAGAGAGAAAACAGCCTAGAGAGGGATTAGAAATGGGTGGAGGGCCATGAACCGAAGATGGACAGTGGGGTGTGACCAAGGAGAAAGTGCCAGGTCTAAAGGGGGTGGAGTGGTGAAAAGGCCAAGGCTTCCACGGTGAAGTCTTGGAAGATGAGTGCGAGTTCCCAAGGTGGTTAAGGTGGGCAAGGGAAAGGGGAGGAGGGAGGACAAAGGGCATTCCTTGAGCTTGATGAGGCTTAAGAACAAAAAACAGTGTCTTTCCAGGAAGTACATTGGTAACTGTAGACGTAAAATAGATGTTGACTGCTTAGATGAGCCTTAGGTGGGGAGAGCATATACAGCAGTTAGTAGTGTGAGCTGTGGAATCAAAGTACTTCAAAAGCTAGCTTCCTTACTAACTTGGCCTCTGTGAGCCTCAGTTTCCGCACCTATAAAGGGGGGATAATGATAGACACAACAACAACCAGCCTTTGTAGAGCTATTGTGAGGAAAATACGCGATCATCTTTGCAAAGCACTTGGCACAATGTCTGAGGAGGTGAGTGCGCTGTGAAGGTTAGAGGTTTGGTTGTGAGGCTCTGTGAGCCGTAAATTGAGTAGGTTACTTATTTGGACTTGGAATCAGGAATCCTACAACCTAATCTTGACCTGAGCTTCACCAGTTAAAGCAATTCAAGTATCTTAAATACCTGGACCCTGCTGTCAGTTTCATCCTCTACAGAATAAGCAAATCAGAATAATTATCGTCTTCTAAGCCACCTCCTTGTTCCAAAGTGCTTTGATTCTCTTGTGTAAGAAGGTACACAAGAAGACTTCAGTAATTCCTCATCTATTCAGTTTAAGCTACAATAACCTTATTTGTTGGTGAAATAGCAGAAGAAAACCAGCATGTACTTTCTAGTCCAATTGCTGGACAAAACTAGGTGGACAGACATTAACAACCTTTGCCTAAATAAGACGGTAGACGTGCCGGCTAGTCTGGTATGAATATGTAGGACTGGTGAAAAAAAATAGACAAGGTTAAAGTGGTTATCATGGACTAAGATTAATTTGGACTAAGATATAAGAATGTATAGAAAACTATTTTTGTTCTAATTGAAGTAAATTGAAGATGTTAATGGCCATCACACACTGACCTTTCTAAAGTCTAAAGTCAGTCTAAAGTCAGCATTCATCAGATGTTTAGAATGGATGAAGGATTTGAAATCTGTCATTTCGTTTACTGCAGTAATAGGACCAAGATAACCTCCCTTTCCTTCAGTGGCTCTTACATGGAGCCCTAAACCTTTTTCTGACCATAAGGTGCATAAAAGTTGCAAGCCCTAAACCTTTTTCTGACCATAAGGTGCATAAAAGTTGCAAGCCTTATAGTGTGTAATAATTATAATAGCGAATATTTGTTGCCTTCTTAGGTGCCCTTTGCAACTAACTGCTCTATGTGTATTCTCAATTCACCTCCTCAACTCAAAGCAGCATACTATATACCCATTTTATGGCAGAGGAACCAAGGTTCAAAGAGATTTGTAATTTTCCTGAGGTTACCTAGCTAGTAAGACCATTGAATGAATGGGGGTGTCTGTTTCACAATTTGGATTGTTGAAGCCCACCAGACAACGACTGCCTGGAAATCAGCCTTCAAACAAGGGTCAAACAAATTTAGGTTTATTTAACTTGTTGTGGCAAGAAAAAAAAAAAAAAAAGACACATAACTCTGAGACTATGAGCAGGAGAGAATAGGGGCTTAGTGTAGAGTTGGGCTTGTACTGAAGAGTCTGGTATGGATTTAGGGGAAGCAAGGACCAGTTAGCTTGGGGAGTTGTCAGGAAGCAGGATCAATTTGGTGTTTCAGTAATTTTTATCTGGGAGGTGAAAAGATAGAAGGGGACTGTCAGCCATCAAAACAGTTGCTCTTCTTAGTTGGAAAAGCGGGACATTTAGTTACTTTGTGGTGCCTAGGGTCCTCTTCTCTGTCTTGATGTGATTGTGGATTGTTCCCATCTTATGCCTCCATGGTCACAGAGTGGCTGTGTCTGAGAATTATTTGTATTCTGTAAAAGTTGTTGATGCTGAGTCATGCTCAGACAGTACCGCCTGGCTCTTGATTCTCTGGGCTCCCTCCTCTACCCCCTCACGCTCTTCCCCTGCCCTTCTTCCCTCTGCTTCCCTCTCCCCCACTCTTTCCTCCCTCTATTGATTTCATAGTAACGTCTGATTTTTTCCATCCAAAGAATAATCCCACCATCATTAGGTCCTGCGGGAATGTTAGCCCAAGGAAGATTTTCAGGTTCAGAGAGAACTCATCTTGAATCTCAGCTCAGCCCTTCAATACCTCTTTGACCTAGGCACATTAGTTGATCTTTTTGGCCTAGTTTTCTTCACCTCTAAAAAAATGGGAAATGATAATTGCCTTGCAGAGTGTTTTAAAAATCAGAGATAATTTACATACAGTGCTTGACATCCTAAGTTCAGCCTGACCACTATTAAAAAGGCATAAACATTGGTCTAATGTTAATTTGGTTTAGACTTTTAAAGTATAAGTCGAACAGCCACAAAAATATTTTCTCTTACATAAACTATTTGATTGTAGAAGGTCACAGAAGATGGGAAGAGCCAGGCTTTTTGAACATGATTCTTTACTATTGGATATTATATAATGAAACTTGCTATAATTACTGTTTTTACATATATTAAAATTTTAAACTACATAACATTATGCTAGACTCATTTAACAAATTAAAAATACAAGGTAGCATTAAAGCTCTCAACATTTCAGTACCTGATAAAACTTGATGAGATACAGGAAAGGTTATCACAGTTACAGACTGTTGGGAAAAAATGGCGGCTGAGGAAGGCTGTAAAGAACAGTGGAAGACATAGAAAGCCTGTTGTCATTGTATGTGTAGAAAAAAGTCTTGTAAAACATTTCCATTGAAGGTTTACTTTTTACACAGGCAAAAATTAGGGTTAAATTATAGGAGGAGGAGATACTGAAATTACTCCTGAACCGTGAGATGGGTTTTATTTCCTTTTTTTTTTTCTATATTTTTCTATGTTTTCCAGGTTTTCTACAGAAATCCTATTCATGATCAGAAAAAAATGTTTTGGCAGAACCAGAAACCGGGAAAAAGGCATTTAGTCTTCTAAAAATCCTGTTTTTCTTGAAGTTGCTAGGTTTCTCAGCCACAGTTGCCAAAATCTTGACACCGCGTGTGTGTATGTGTGCGTGTGTGTTTGCACACACACGTCACATAAAACATCCTTAGGCATGTGCTAGACATTAAATGGTCTTTGAGGTTCTAGTTCAGAATTACCTCAAATATGTGAATGGTGGAAACTGGAATGGTCCATTACAAATAGTGTTGCTGAGATAGTCCAGTCTTCTTTACTGTGTCTCCAGTTGTTTTATGATTTAGTAACTCTATTTTAAGAGAAATAAAATTGGAAAACATCCTGCTAATGAAAAAAAGTTGTTACAAGTGACTCACTTTTTGTGTGGTCCCTTCTTCTCCCCCCTCCCCCTCCCCACTCTAGAAGTCCGGCCTTCATTTTCGACACACGGATAATACGGTCCAGTGGTTAAGAGCAATGGAGTCTATTGGTCTACCCAAGGTAAGCCTGAACAGGGAAGCCAAAAGAGGTCATGCGAACACCTCATTGTGAAAAAAGGTTTGGCATCTTGGGATATGTTAATGTGGCAGATGGCCTTATTGCCTCAGGCGCAACAAATGTGAGGACTCCACAGAAATGTGGCAAGGCCTGTACAAAGTAATATATGGCAGGAACTCAGAATGAAGTATGTACCCAGATGGAGAGCAGCTAGGTTAAAGCATGTATAAATTCAACAAGCCAGAACAAGCTTTAGCTGGTAGATAATTTAAAATAGCCACCTCCTTTTTCTGTATTACACTACCATATATTGCATCACTGTACATTATAATGACAAAGGTATTTTTACAAAGGATTGTTATAGATCATATTATCACTTTGAATGTTAAAAGCTAGAGGGTTATAGTTCTTCCTCTTGAAATAGCTGTCCCAAATAAAACTTGCCAAATATTCGGAGCATGTTATATTGAAAGAGCGGGTACCTTTCAGCCTGAGAGACAAGTAGACAAGTAGAGGAAATGAGGAAGTAATTAACATTTGTTAGAAATTGTAGAGTGATTTCTTCAACTTCTTATTTGGAAATAATTTTAGATTCACAGGAAGTTGCAAAAATAGTGCATCTTTGCGTATTCTTCATTCAGCTTCCCCCAGTGGTGACATCTAGTAACTGTAGTAAAATAATAAATCGACGCTGGTGTGTTAACTGTTTAGAAGGCTACAGACCTTACTTATATATGCATTGATTTGTGTGTGTATGTGTGTGTGTTTCTGTGTGGTTTTATGCCATGAATGTATGTGACCACCACCACGGTTAAGATACAGATACCACGAAGGAGTAGGCCTTGACGTGGTATCCTTTCCTAGTCCTGTCCCCTGGCAGTCACTGATCTGCTCTCCATCACTCTGGTTTTGTCATCTTGGGAATGTTAAAGAAGTGGAATCCTACAGTAAGGGATCTTTTGAGATTGACTTTCTTCCAGTAAGTATAATGCCCTCGAGACCATCCATAGTTTCCTCCTTTCTATTGCTTATTAGGTACAGCTGTTATGAAGAAATAATGTAGGAGTGGTCCTCCTCGAAGGGAATAGGCTACTGATGGAAGACCTGTGTTGGCGGTGATATTATTAATTCAGGTTTGAATGAACAACCTACCACAACAAAAACAGAGGATTCCTTAATGTAAAATATAAATGCCTATTTTTAATCTATCTGAGCTTATACCTGATTTATCTCTATTTATTTTATCTAAAAATAGTCCATATTGATTTCTTCTTCCATTTTTAACCAAATTACTTTCCCTTCTCCTAAAATGCCCAGAGCATTAAATGCTGTTCCCATCTGGGCACTTGTTCTAGAATTCATATTTCTAGATTGTCATTTAGCAAGTACTAACAGGGTAACAAACAGAGTAATAAGGAAAGAAGAAAATTCAAATAGGATTTTTCTGTATGAAGCAACATACTTTAAATTAGGGTAATTTTGTTACGTTTCATAGATTGGATTTAAACTTTTCCTAATTGTGTGTGTTGGACCAGGGTTCCCTTACTTCTAAGCCAAATAAGTGATCCAGGTAGCAGATGCTGTTTTAACACTGATTTTTTTTTTTTTTAAATGATTGATACGTTACCTTGCAGGGATGAGAGACCGATAGTGTGCTGAACTGATGGATGTATTTGACCACTACTAATGTCTTCACTTGCCAATATTAAGTGACTCCTCCATGCTCAGCATCATGTTAACACTGGGGAATACAGTGGTGAATAAAATGTTCTGGGCAACTCTGTGAATTGATCCCATCTTACTGCTAAAATAAGATCTACTCACAAAGATTTCTAAAAGAAATGAAACTATTTATATAAATACACATTTCCATATGGAGAGATATAAAGAAATATAGAAAGTTGTTGGAAGGAAAGGGAGTGGGGAGCTGCAGTGTTCTTCTGCTTCCCCAGTAGACCTGTTCTTCTGAACCGGGAATCCTCTTGGGACGGACGCTGTAACAACAAATGTGTTGAGGGAAAGTTGAAAAGACCCTTAAAGTTTCCTGGGCTGCAGACGTTACTTCAAGCGGTCAGGGACTATACATTGTGGCTGAGGAAACTTTGCTGCTTTCTTCTCCTAGCTTTTTTCAATGTCCAATAGAAAATTGTACTTGAGGGGTGCCTGGGTGGCTCAGTTGTTAAGTATCTGCCTTCTGCTCAGGTCATGATCCCAAGGTCCTGGGTTTGAGCCCCGCATCTGGCTCCCTGCTCAGCGGAGAGCTTCCTTCTCCCTCTCCATCTCCCCCTGCTTGTATTCCCTTTCTCGCTTTGTCTCTGTCAAATAAATAAATAAAATCTTTAAAAAAAAAAAAAAAGGAGAGAGAAGAAAATTGTACCTAAGTGTCAAGTGCTACCATATGATAAAGGATATAATTTCAGTTTTTATGTCAACTTTTATAAAATATCTACTAAAAGCCAGCAATGCCAGTATGCTTATCTTTCTCTTAGAAGCTTTAAGCCTAATTATTCATGTTTTGGTGCTTAGGAAGGGAGAGGTTTGCTGCCCTATTCTGAAATGTTTCTTATCAAGCTTTTAGTTTCAGGCTTAAAAGTAGTGTAAGTGTGTATAAAAAGCCTCAGTGTTCAACCTTACCAGTTAAGTAATGCCATATATAGGTGTTAATCCAAAAAAAATCATCAGGTGTTCAGAAAATGCAGGGATGTTCATTGCAGTGACTTTTATTTAGGACAAACTGGGGGCAAAAAAGTTCAGCCTTGGAGGACTAGCTTAAATTATAGTTCAAAAAGACAAAAGAATCACAAACATCTATTAGAAATAATGTTCTAGGGGTCCCTGGGTTGCTTAGTTAGTTAAGCATCTGCCTTTGGCTCAGATCATGATCCCTGGGTCTTGGGATCAAGTCCCACATTAGGCTCCCTGCTCCCTGGGGGGGTCTGCTTCTCCTTCTCCCTCTGCCTGCTGCTCCCCCTGCTTGTGCTCGCTCTCTCACTCTCTCTCTCTCTCTCTCTGTGTCAAATAAATAAAAATATCTTTTCTGAAAAAGAAAATGTTCCAACAGAATAATGAAAGGGATGGAAAACAGTCATTCTATATGGTACTATAGTAATACCGTACTATAATATTACTGAGGTTATCATATTACAGTTCTGTTCTCACATACAGACATAAACATAAAAAGTCAGAGACACATACGGAAAAAAGACTAGAAAAAAAATACCAAAATGCTAACGGTTAACTATCTAGAAAGTGAGATTATAGGTAATGTTTCTCTCATGCTTCAGTTATTTTTCAGATTTTATTTGTTAAAATGTGGTTCCTTCCAGCAGAAAAGAACATCAGTGTGTGTTGTGTGTGTGCATACCTGTTCACAAAAGTGTGAGGCTAGGTGTTTAACATTATAATAAAACACTGTACTCTGGACACCCTTCTCAGGGTACATGTTACAGGAATGAACCTGCAGAGCCTGACCGGGCTTACCACGCTTGGAGCGAAACTGCCACCTAGCCCTGTGGGAGCAGCCTTCTTGCAGTGGCCACCTGGGAGTCCCCTGCTCTCCCAAGCCCACTAGGGGGCATGCTGTCAGGGGACCAGGTATACCAGTGGGTCTGCCTGTAGAGTGAAGGGGAGCAACGACAGAGGGGTTCCTCTGCATTTAAATAAATACAGCAGAGACAATCCAAGTAGCATCATTGAGATATAAAGTAACTGTACAAGGCAAAACATAATAAAACACATTGTTTCTTTTGTTTTCCAGATATTTTATCCAGAAACAACAGATGTCTATGACCGGAAAAACATACCCAGAATGATATACTGCATTCATGCGTTGAGGTGGGGAGAAAGATACAACTAAGAGTGGAGGAAGTAGATTTAAATGAAACTAGTTTCTATTTTAGAAAAGGGCTCTTAAGTTACTTAAATAATCTGAAGAACTTTTTATTGGATGGAGCTGTTTTGAATTTGGCATAGATTTTTTAAATTGTCACGTAAGTACAATCCTTGAACTGGAAAAATATTTTTTCTGATTTCTTAAATCTAATTCAAAACAGAATACCAGAAAATGAATGAAAGACCTGTACATATAATGAGAAGATATAAGTTGAAATTTCTAGGGATCTCCTATATGTTGCCATATTCTTGAGTTGTGATCTAGTTTCCCAGTATAGCCAAAATACATCAAATGAGCAGCTATAATGGTCATTATAATTTTTATATTCTTAAATTATCCTTTTGCTTCAATTCTTATTATAGACTAATGAAGTCCAATATAAGGTTAGTTTCTTTTGACCTTTGCTCAATAGAACTTGTACCATAAGGGTAAAGAAGCAGCATCAAGAGTTGCTTTGAGTAAATAAAATCAAGATTTTTTTTTTTTAAAGGAGGAGAGGAGAAAGGGCAGAGTGAAAGAGAGTGAGAGAGGGAATCTTAAGCAGGCTCCATGCCCAGGGCGGAGCCAGACTCAAGGCTGAGTCTCATAACCGTGAGATCATGACCTCAACCGAAATCAAGAGTCAGACTCTTAGCCAACTGAGCCACCCAGGTGCCCTAAGATACTGTCGTTCATTAATTTAAAGCAATTGTTTGATAGCTGAATTTTTGAAAACACTTAAATTGTGCTAGTTCATAGATCATTTTTTATCTTAGTGGACTGGAAGAAACGCTATTTTTAGATGGTAACAAAGATGATTCTGAAAATCCAGTTTATGGCTGTCATCCTGCATTCACGCAGGTAATGGCTGGAAGTCTTCATGTCTAATTAAATTTTAAGTTTCTTCTGGAACATCTGCCTTGTGTTTATATCACTAGAAGTCATTTTCCTGGCAGAGTCTTCTGCATAGAGGTTTATATTAACTTCTTTCTGGCTCTTTTCCCCTCCAGAGGAAAAGGTTTCTACAATAATTCATTGCACTGCTGGCCTACTAGAAAAGAATTTTGATTATGTCATATAATTTGACTTTTCCCCCCGATCAGCACTTAGGAGATTTCTTTGGAAGATGACAGTTGTTTGAAATACAGACCAAATGTAGGTGCCTTTCTCTTTATTCTCGTAATTTAGAGTGGGCTAGAGGGTGGGATCACTTCTGTACCTGCCTCCTCATGTGTGGCTAGTATATCATTACTCCAGCAGTGTTTCTGAAAGCTTTCTATGCAAAAGTGCTTGTCTTGGGGAATATTTTCATATGTGTTGCCCAACATTCCTTGTCAAATATTTTTCAGAGCTTAAAATGATCACTTAACACTGCACTTAGTACCACTTTTGTGACCTGCTAAGCCAGCTACAATTAGTTAATGCCATCATCATATCCACGCATCATAGTGCTAATCTCCAAATCTGTGGCATGCTCCTGGAGTACCTTGGACAAGCTTAAATTGATTTCCCGACAGGACACCTGGGGTGTTAATGTTAAGCTGCTTATAAAGAAATGGTGTGCTAAGTTCCTTTCCAGTGATGTCACTATTCTTCCCCTGAAATTATATAGAACTGCACTGAGGCTTACAAATGGGTTTGTGATCATTTCAACAATGGCTTCAGCAGTTTGGTAAATGAAAAAAAGGCAACTTCTTATTCTTGACACTTGTATGTGAATGTTAGTGTGATATTTTTTAGGACTGTTTTTCTCAGTCATGCAATAACTCATGGAAGTCTCCATTACTGTTGATCATTCTGGAGCAAATTTCTCTTGAGCCTGTCCCACACCAGATCTGATCTTAGGTAGGACCTTTTCCATTTACTTAATAAACAGCATTCCCTGGGAAAATCTCCTTCGCTCTTATCTGTCCTAAACTTACATACGACTGCTTCTTGGTAAAGAACTAAGAAGTCTCGTGTATATCTAAAGTTTTTTTCTATCAAAACCTTTTCACTCAATGATTTAGAATACAGTCACTCAAATGAAGCCGATATTCTGCTCTGTTGGCCAAGACATATTTGGGAGTTGGGTAGCAGAGCCCTTTACTACGTACAGTGGGTTGGCTCTCACTGGATAATTAGAGGTGATGCTGGAAATGAACACATACGTGCCTGGCCATTATATCCTGGCTGGGGTTACAGCAACATTGCTGGTGTAGAAAGTCATCATTACTGGACAGGGAATTGGGCAGGTCAAAGGTTCTGAGTATAGATCAGGAGCCAGGTGGAAAGATATCCCAGGTACCCAGGCACTACCTTCCTGCTACCCCAACCCATGGGCCTGCTGGGATCTGTATTGTTAGATCTCAGCCCAGCCAATTTGTCTTGCATTCCCTGTCTTTTTGATTTGGGCTTGACAACCTCATTAATATCCTCTGGGGTTGTGCCCTTGCTTCCTGTTTGTATCTGCTTTCCACTTTTCCTGCCTGGCCCTCACCTTTTCACTCTTGTTTCTGACCCTGGTCTTGTTGCCTGCCACTCATTGCTCCCTTTGTCTGAAGCTGGATGTTCTCAGTGAAATGCCTCCAGGGATGGTTAGCATGGCAGCCCCGGGGGAAATCCTCACACTTGACTTCACGCAGAAAGACTCACTTCAGTGAGAGGTGACCTCATTCTTTTTCAAAGAAATGTTTATCTTTTTTTTATGTGAAATAAAAAGCTTAAAATCTCATTGTGGGAAAAATTGGAAAAGTCAGAAAAGAAAATCAAAGGAAAAGCTAGCTAAAGTACCCATTATTGCAATACTGATGTGACTGTTTTGGTGCATTTCCACTTAAAATGTGTACATGGCTTGTTTTCTTTTTGTGGCTTCATTTGGAATGTACAAAAGTCTGCAACAAAAAGAAATTGGTTCAAGAAGTAAGAGCCTTGCTAACAAGTTACTGCTAATGATTTTTTAGTTGGGCATCGATGCATGGAGGAGAACACTTTTGACATGTTGTTTGTTGCTCAATTTGTGAAACACTGTTAAATATTTAAACATTGGTTATCAATCGGAATTGAAAAATTTTAGTAAAACTGATATTTGAACACATCAGATACCGTAAAGGACAAAGGAAATACCCAGATGTATCATTACAAACTTAATACACTTAAACCCATTCTGGAAGAATTTCACTGCAAGTTTCACTCACGTAATTATTGATGCACTAATTTTGACTCATCCCGGGACTAGAATGTATTGAACGTTAGCTAGAGTTTACATGATCCTCAGGACACCAGAAACAAAAGAACACCTCTACACCTGCCCGGGTTGTAGACCTGGTGTTTGACCGTTCAGTTGTCAGAGGGCACATGGTCCTAGTTTGGTTTCTTCCCCCAAGGGCAGTCAGGCCCTGGCTACCAGGCATCAGTCAGACCTTTATAATTTTCAGTAAATGGCTTCCAGGTAGGTTTTTATTTTCATTCTGGTCCCCACGCCTAGCCCACCCCACATCCCCCAGAAATGATTTACCACCTGCGTCTCACTCAGCCAGTGTTACATAACCCATTGTCCTGTCATAATGATGTATTGGCCTGATCTGTTAACATTATTAAAAGCTCCTATATGCATTTTGAATATTTTCTTGAAATTAGTTGGGCATTCTAGAGGTTTCTCACCCACAAAATGAAGGATTGACTACCTAATGGTCTTTAGTAGATGGTTGATTTGGCTGATTTATCATCTCAGACTACGTTTCTGGATCCTCTGTCTGTTGATGATGATGTGCTCAGGGCCAGACCCCCTTCTCACCTGGGTGTTTCGGTCACAAACTTTGTGTTCTTCAGGACTTTCTTATCTTGGGTCACTTCCTTGGTTTTACATGACACTCTGGCTTAGAGTTCCTGGTTTTTATTCTCATGGTATAAGTATAATATAAATTGTATAAACATATATTTGTTCCATAGATAGACACTGAAAAAACAAAGCTCCTGTATTTTAATAACACATCCCAGCTTGTTAAAATCAGTACAAATAATTATCCGTGTCTTACTTGATCAATTCATATTGCAATTTCCTTTCTGTACACTTTGTACCACTCTCTTTTGATGAGGGCTATGAACTCCTGGCCTTTCACCGACTTAACCAGGGTTAGAATCTTCTGTTCTGATGGATCAGATTGATTTTATTTGGTTAGTGGGAGCCCTATGGGGCCAGTGTCTTCGTCCTTGTAGCACTGTCCCTGACATTATTGGAAATATCCTCGCTTTGTGGTCACAACAGAATGTTCCAGTCCTATTGTAATTATTTCTGCGTTGAGAAATCAACTCCCCTCCAAGGAATCCTTTACAAGTCATATGTTCATAATGATTTTTCCTCATTTGATAGATGAGGAGTCTGGATTCTGCTTTTCTTTCCGTGCTAAGTTTCTTGAACCATTAAGACAACGCCAAGCTGAAGATGAGCCTGCCTCCCCTCTGGGTCGTGGCTGGTGCTCCCGCAACAGATCGTGTCATGACTGCCCCAGCAGCTGTGTTTTCAGATACAGTGATGATGCTGAAACAGCACACATTTGGGGCATGCATTTGTGATAATAGCTCTGGTGACCCCACTCCCAGTTAACCGGTTGTCCTGCCAAATGCACTGATTGCTTCAAGAAGAAGCACACCTGCCATCAGGTGGCTGCCTTGCAAACTATGCGTATAATATGTGTATTTATTATATACATAATATATATTACATATTATACATGTAATACAGATTATGTATCTAACCCTCAGGCTTTCATGCAGATCTCTCTTTGGCTTACACTTTGTGCCCTAAAGGCCTTTTGCCTTTTCAAAAACCAGTTGATGACTTATACCAGACTGATAGCATACTGATACCAGTATGATGAACATACTTGCATTTATAAAGAAGCTTCCTAGAAATAGTTTCTTAACCCGAAGGGCAGGTTCTCCTTTCATGTTCTCAGGAGGGATATGTGGAGATGGCAATATT